AACGGGTTTCATAAACACCGGATATAAATTTGTTTTTATAACGGGTTTAACAAAACCTTTATAAAAACTCTGTTATAAAAAATGTTTTTTCTACTAGTGGTAAATGGTTTCGACATCTTCAACGGGTTCCGCTCGGACATGATGATTTCCATTTTTGAACTGCATCCGTGGATCCATATCTTCGTGCATTTCTGTGTCTTTCTCATGAAAAGGTTGCTCTTGATCAAGGACTTCAGTTAATGTTTTAGGCAAAATCGACGTCATAGGGATATCGGTATCCGTAAGAGGAATGTCGGTATCTGCTCGAGGCATGTCGGTATCTGGAGCGAACTGATCAGTTCTTTCAGCATTAAGAGTTGGGTTGTTCAACCCAATAGAGTTTTCAGTATCCTGCTCTTCAACCATATGAAAGTTACACGAGGTTGAGAGCAACATTAGACTCCGCGCTTCTCGTTGATCTCCGTAATGAGTGCCTTCTCCTTCAATGGTGGGGAACTTCACGGCATAATGGAAAATTGACACAGCAGCACGAAGTTTGTAAAGTGCAGTTCGTCCTATTACAACATTATATTCATTTTGGACATCCAAGACTTTGAAAGTCTCCATAATGATCTTGGATTTTGGTCCAAAGCCACCAAACCGAATAGGGAGTAGTATTTCGCCGACAGGGCAGGAAATGCTTCCATTGAAACCTTGAATCTGGTCGTTGCAAGGCCTAATGTCTTCTGGGTCCAAACCCAATTTTTTGAACGTGCGGAGCATCAAAATACTTGAGTAAGATCCTGTGTCGACTAAAATCCGATGAACAGGAATCCCTCCAATCGGGGCTGTTATAATAAGGGCGTCGGAATGAGGATGAGCAAATAGATTGGCATCTTCGATACTGAATGTGATGGGACAATTTCGTTTGTTGATGGTATCTCGAAGATCAACATTCATGACTCGTTTCTCGGCATTTTGTGCCTCCCGAGCATAGGCTTTGACTTTCCGTCGAGAAGTATCTAACTGCTTGTTATTGGAATTGACTCGAGGTATGCAGTGTGAAGAGTCTAAGGCGTCATGTGTCCTAGATTTCCTGCAGTTATCAGTCGAGGTTCCAACATGAATAGAAAACGTGAAAACCTCCTTATCGTTTGCACGAGCTCTTTTCGGATTAACAGGTCGGTTGTCATCATCTTCATCATCTGAAAGGTCCAAGGGCCTTCCTTTCCGACGATTATCGAAATTTCGGAACTTTTGAAGCTGAGGTTGTCCAATTAACCGTAAGAGTGCTGATAGAAGACCGAGACACTCATCGGTATTATGGCCCGGAGACTTATGATATGCGCAGTATCGAGTTTTGTCCAGCTTGTCTTCAGGAGTTCTCACGGGTCTCGGGTCAGGAATAATACCTTTTCCTTTCAGTTCTTCATATATGGTGGCTGCTCCGGCGGAATAAACGGCCTGATAGCCTGTCCTAACATTATCTGAATACTGATCACGAGCAGCCCGAGACTCTGGAGTATTTTCATATCCTTTGGAGAAATTCCGAAACTGTGCTTTCCCAAAGCTCTTCTTATTCTTCTTTTTAACGCCCGATTCAGTTTTGTTTTCTTTCACTGAGAAGTCGAAGTTGGGAACCGACATCGATTCCTCGGCAATAATAAATTGTTGAGCACGCACAAGAAATTCTTGAAACGTAGCAGGTTTATTTTGGCACAAGGTCCAGCGAAACATTGAGTTGGGCTTCAGTCCAGCGATGGCGGTTACTAACAGGGTTTCAGGATGACAAGGCTCCATGTTTTGAATTCGGTCGTTGAACCGAGACACGTAGTCCTTAACAGTCTCGTCGTCTTTTTGCACGATGTTGGTAATTGATTCTTTTGGAATGAGAAAAATTTGAGCTCCAATAAAGTGCGATCGGAAGGCCGCACGTAACTGTTGCCATTTCCAAATTGAATGAGGTGGGAGAGTATAGTACCCCATTTTTGTGCTCGTGGCCCCAGTGTAAGCGAAAACATCCGACATCTCAAAGCGTCTGAGGCACCATGTAGATCCATCCAAGACGTATAATGGCCCAAGTGTGCATCCGGATCTGATGTTCCATCATACATGCCAATTTATGGGATTTTTACCTTAGCTGGGAGTGCCTCCGCGGTAAGTTCCGGAGCTAAAGGGGAATCAGCTTCAACAATGACATTTCCCGACGTCGAGACATGTCGGGGAGAGTCTTCCTGCGACTTCTGTCGAGTCTCGAGTTCAGCCAAGCGTTTACGAAGAGTTTCAATTTCTTCCGCACTATGTCTTGAAAGACGATTCCGTTCAATCTGGCGCCGCAAATCTTCACGACCATGAGGCACTGGTGAAATAAGTCTAGGACGTGACGGAATTCGTTGATGATGAGCAGAGTGACTTTCAGCAGTCATTTCCTATACAGGGGGCTCTTCTATAACGCCCCGGTTGATTATGAATTATTGGAGA